TGTCTTTCCATTTAAAAAGGCTTTGTCTTAAGTATACATAAATAAGCACTAATTACGACTTGGCCGCTTAATGTATTACTTCTGGTTACGTAATCTCTTGTTTTTAAATGTTACACTTTTACACTTATTAATGGGCAACTGTTACATCATCTCTACAAATATCTATCTTGTATCTAGAAATGTAAGCACTAAAGCACGATATATACTTGTAACGGGCCTCGTCTTCGTAACTGTTTACTTAATCGCTCTAACTCTAAAATAATTAACAAAAATATTAATATTTACAATTTATTTATATTAAAAGAATGCAATTATTCCCCATAAAAAGCAATTACAATGTTTTCTAAAAAATGTGACATAAAAAAACAATAAACTTTAAAAATTAAATAACAATTTTTATTGGAATTTGTAGAAAATATGTTTAAAACTAATAATTATGACATTTCACATGAATTCATTACATAATCTTTTTTCTCATTTTTTTATTTATTTAGGTTCCCTGTAAGGCTATGAGCAAGCAACTTTGTTGCCATAGCTATATAGCGAGAGCTCCTTAATGATCGGGTAGACAAAACCCTGATGTCTTTCCTTTTCGACAACTAGGTACTTTGAATTTGAAATGTTATGTAATACTTTTTAAATCAAGCGATAACAATTTGTCTCATACTTTACTTTGAATTACTGCATTCTACAACGACGTCGTTTTTGTGGATGGTACATTGCAACCTACATTTCACTTTTATCAGGTGACATCTTTGTACACAGTGTTTTAATAAATGTGCGGAACACGTGTTCAGTAGATTGTCGCTTGTGTATCTGGGTGCTTTGATTTTTTGTAACTTGTGTACAAGACTTATTTAAGAATTCTAAAATTATGAACGTTATGTACAGGGACAGGACTAGAAATGTTTTTAGGGCTATTTATTGGACTGTTCGCAGCTATATTGGTATGTTATTAAGTTTATGTAATTGTAACTAGCAAATTCAGTATTATATTATTATATTCGTGATGGGCAGGGCACGGTTTTGTATCCCACCCGTTGTACCTACGTTTGTAAATTACTTTAGGTACTGTGACTGTTTTCCGTGGGAGAGTGATACTTCGGCAGAAACAAATTTAATAGGTTATTCCATTTTTGAACCGTTTGGGGTCGAGACGCCAACTAAGGTCATATAGGAATTCTTAGATGGCTTGCAAGAGCTGGATGCGAGAAGATAATCGTTTCTTGTTTTCACATGACTAAATAATCACTGAATATGTAGTATTTATTAGTTAATGGTGCTAATTCTGTTGTTCGAAAACTCTCTAAACTAAACTAAAAATCACTAAAAATTTGTTTAGTCCTGTCAAACAGAGTTTCCTATTCTGAGAACGTAATATTTGACAGGACAAATTTTTTTTTAGCGATTTTTAGTTTAGTTTAGAGAGTTTTCGAACAACAGAATTAGCACCAATGACTCCCAGCTATAAAATACTTCACAGGCCTTTCAATAAAAAATTTATATTTTAATTTCCTTTGAATTTTTTTCAGTAAAACTTTGGTATTGTTTTACGAAAAAATTATAAAGGAATTCTTCATTTAATTTTATTGCAGTACCATAAATGAAAACCAAATATTAAAGGAATCTACCTAAATTATGTACATAATGTGTTAATAAGTATGTATGGAATAACACATAGTGTGTTTGAAAAGTTTGCTGTATATTTGTCATATTGAAACGGTAGTGTAGTCGGTACAAAGTAGAGGAGACAAGATGCAAATGTGTTACATATTTCTATTTAAAGACTTGTCAATGAAATAGTAATTATTTATTTATTTATTTATTTATTTATTACAACTATGGAGGATTTACAGCTATGATAATTACAATAAAAACAGTCAAGAAAACAGAAAGCCAATAACAAATCCTCACTTATATAAGTCAGAGATAAGTTACAGTGCATAAGACAATACAGAATAGGATCAAGAGGTATTATATAAGTTACAGGCACAGATCACCTACAAATTACACAGAACGCAATAATATACACACAAAACAGACAGGACCCATAACAATAACTACTCAGACCCCCCACCATCACCACGGAATATTAATATTAAACTTAGATAAAAGTTCGCAGCAGTCAATTTCGTTACTGAAAATTTTTAATAATAGTGTACCCTATTATTAAAAATTTTCAGTAACGAAATTGACTGCTGCGAACTTTTATCTAAGTTTAATATTAATATTCCGTCAAGAACTCGCTATAACCCACCGCTGAATGTACCACTTGCACTGACGAACTATAGAAAAAATTCTTTTGTTATTCGTTCAACTAGAAGCCTCAATAATGTGTGTGAACAATTTGGAATTGATATTTTTAATGTTAGTGTAACGGGAGCGAGGAGGTGTTTAAGCCTTAAATTCTTCAGGGGTGATGGTGGGGGGTCTGAGTAGTTATTGTTATGGGTCCTGTCTGTTTTGTGTGTATATTATTGCGTTCTGTGTAATTTGTAGGTGATCTGTGCCTGTAACTTATCAGCGATTTCACGACGCGTTGTAAGGGGTAGTAAATGGTACTTCTTGCAAAGGTCAAAGTAAATTTCCGAGTGATAAGGTACTTTCTGGTGAAAGCACAAATATTTTATGAACCTTCTCTGGATATTCTCAATTCGGTCTACATATTTTTGGTAGCAAGGATTCCAAACTTCACATGCATACTCTAAATGGCTTCTAACAAAGGTGCAATACAGAATTTTTAAAGTTTTTGCCTGTTTGAAGCCCCTAGACAGTCGCATTATGAATCCTAATGCTTTCGAAGCTCTGGCAACGATTGCATCTATGTGTTCTTCATAGATCAGCTTCGAGTCATGCGTGACACCCAGATCCCGGACGGAAGCACATCTAGGCAGCGAATCACCGTTTAACTTATAGGCTGTAGTTATAGCGGATCGCTTTCGCGAATATGTCACAACCGAGAATTTTGTAGCATTCAGATCTAGCTTGTTGTTTCGACAGTACTTCTCCAAACGAGTCAAATCAGCTTGAAGCGCGGTCATATCCTCAAGTGATGAGATCGCTGCGAAAATTTTCATATCGTCAGCAAAACATAGGAGTCTCGATGATCTAAAGCATAATTGTATGTCGTTCACGTATATCGTAAATAGAAGGGGTCCAAGCAAAGACCCCTGAGGACAGCCGCTTTAGATAGGCACCCAGCCAGAGATATAGTTATTGAAATCAATCATCAGATAAGTTATTATCATGCTAATAGTTTATGGGGAAATTACCTCTTCACTGTGCTTTAACATTTATGGGAAAAAAAATTAAAGAGGTCTTAATTAATGAATTATTTATACCCTTTAGGCACAAAGTATATATATTTTTACGTGATGACGTTATTTTCCGTAGGTATAAGCGTAATTCTATTTCTTGGAAAGGAATTAAACCCACATAATCAGAAAATATTTTAGGTTTGGGTAAGGCTTTGTGTTATCTTATGAGTTATGACATGACTAAGTAACAAAAAATACGCTGCAGTAGACATCCACACATGCACACAATGCGAGTACATGCACAAGCATAGACTCACACCTGCCTAAAAATACATAATTTTGGTCATTTTATAGTTTCGTAGTACTGTCATAATGAGTAAACAATTCTATATTATAATAGAATATGCCTTAGGTTTTAAATAAAGAATTTGTTAAGCTTTTGTTTTATTATTTTTTTCACTGACGTAAGGCCAACGTAACTATAATTATGGTTGTCAAAGTTGTTTAGAAATTGTCTTTATACCATTCTTTTTTCAAATTGACGGTCATACTGATATATTATATTTTAGTTTTTATTTTAGTTTTGCCAACCGTGTTATTCTATTACAACCTTATACAGCTTATACACTCTTTATTAGAAGAATAACACAGGCTACAGGCTACCCATTTGCTCGTTTCGAAAAAGATAGGATCTATAACAAGGTAAAATAATCCATGCTTTTAAAATAGCAAAATGTTCTAGAAAATATTTTTACAATATCAATAATATTTTTCTTGACTTCCCTGGCTTGAAACAAACGTTAGTATTATATAACATAAGTACAAAGCATCAACACATAAACTGAAAATCTCTTCTACTTTTGAAATTATTCTTATTTCATCTTTACAATAATAGGTGGGCAATGCGGTCGGCTGACAATATTCACGTGGCAACACTAAAACCGGGTCAGGTGAAGTCAAGCTACATTTAGTTTTGCGCGGCTCGTAAAATTTTCCCAATACGGTTGTTTATACAGATGACCGTTTATGTGTGTGGACTGTGGACAATGGTTCTTTTCCAGTTTTATTGCGCATACTAAGTCTGCGAACTAATGAATTTGAATTTTATTGTATTGGACTAAGTCAATAGGATCTGATGCGATGTAAAACATATAAAATATGTAGTACATGCACAAAAATAGTGATTTACTAAAGTATTTGAAGTAAATAGCTTCAAAATGCTATTTGTTAGCACAAACAATACCATGAATTTGCGTGAAACAGTACCTCAAATGAATCTTTTAACTCATACACTGATTTAAAAAAAAATTGCCACAGCAATAAGTCATAGCTACTAGACCACCTTCGACCAAGGGGAAGTGCATCACCCAACTCTTTAAGGATATGACCCTGTAGATACAGTAAATAGAAGACTTGTTTTTGTATTACGAGTATAACAGCTTGAATTACCTACAATTTATGACATTTATCTAATTCTAACTCATTACCATTTATACTGTATAAAAATGACTTCGCTAATTGTACTTTTAGTCCATGAACGTATCGTTTGTACTTGCTTACTTCCTGTGTCCAAAAATTAAAAAGTCTACGATATAATTAAAAAGTCGCTATTAAATCATAGCAAGTTTTAGTGGCAACCTTAATGTTAAGTCGGTTACTAGGCTCGGTGGAGCGCTGCATTCCGTTTTCTATGCCACTGTTGTGCTGTGAGTAGTGTGTCACCGATCGAAGAGCGCCTATAAGATGGATAAACAGTCTTTTATTTTACAAGGTTAGTGAGAATATTGTCCTTTATAATTACGTCGAACACTCTTTCGAATCGGGAGAGATTAGTGACTTTCCATAATAAAAAATAAAGTTACAGCCTAAAGTCATAATATTGTTATTTGAAATGTTAAAACTTGATTTAAAGTTGGCACGCATTTTTTTTAATTCGTTTAGGTTCCATGATATTGTTATGTTCAAAGATTTCGTAACCGTTACTGATACCTAACCCTGATAAAATCATCTTCAAATGCATATTACCATAAATATACGCTAACCCTTCATAAGTTCATGAGTTTCTATTTTGTTATTGACTACCGTTGTGTTAATGATGACCGTTATTTTGTAACATTCCCACCTAGTAGCTTACTATGAATCATTTTCTTGCTTTGAGAAATGCTCTTGAATGAATCTTAACGGAATTTAGTAATAAGTAGTTATGGTTCGTTATTAATATTTAATTATTCATCGTCATCATCAGCTGCTTTTAAGAGTCCATTGCTGAACATAGGTATCTCCTTAGAAAAGAGATTTTTTTAATTCGTCATTTCTTAACATACACTCATCAAACAAGTCTATATAAGCAACATGTACGAACGTACTTACTTACCTTTTGAAAAGTAAAAAAAAATAGGTGTTTAATTATTATTATTTTTGAAAGAGAATGTAAGTAATATATATTTTAATAAGTTGAAAGAAATGGTATCCCATACAAACTCTTTTTAAGTTTAATTTTGAAAAATTAGTAACAACGTTTTTTATTACTTCTAATAACAAAGTTTCATATAAGTTACCAAAAAACCCTTTCTTAATGACCTAAGGTACACTCATGCTTCCCAGGGGTTTCAGCTGTGCGTTGATCGATCAGTCATTGAATTAGGTCTTTTTTTTATAGATATAGACAATATAAAATCTAAGTTTTCATGATTTAAATGACGAAATTAAACTTTTCATGTTATAAAATTAAACAACATTTTTTTTTTTTTAATTAGTTGGGCATTTAATACAAAGTGTGACCGCCTGTTGTTGTCGGTAGTTTAAAACTTGAAATCGCACCCGATGGAATTTTATTTAAGTTAATTAAGTTGGATGTATCGGTCCTGTCTAGCAGTTGTACTCCTTCCATGTCCTAGGTGCTGCTCAGCAGGATCCCCTGTATTAACATGTCGTCTTTGACAAATCACGCTCCTGTGGACACCAAAATGACAGGATACCTAGGACTGATTTTTTCCCGCTTGTAGCATTCCTACTCAATAGCTCTCTGCATTTCATCAGCAGTCAAATGGCGTGGCTCCGTGACATAAAAAATGACTCACGTGGACTATTAAAGGCTGTTGTTGAGATAAATATTAAATTCATCAAGTACCGAAAACACATGATTTCGGGAAAATAATTAGCTTTTTATTTAATGAAAAAAAAACACAATCGTGTAGTTTCTATTTTTAAAATCAGCCGGTATACGTTTCCGAGAACAAAAAAGATTGTATACCGATCTACTGTAGTAAGAAAAAAATTAAATATCAAAGAAAAAATAAAATAACATGCAGTTTCTGTAAACTATGCGTGTTGCTTAGACTTTTTAGATGTTGTACTCGTAGTTCATACAAGAAAATCCTTACTAACAAAAAGTTGAACCGACTTCAAACAATACTAACAAAGAGCACTAAAAACCAAGCAGCAATTGCAGTTAATTTGCTTTCAATTTTGTAGAGTTACGTTTCTATCTCGGAAACTCATCATCAGATCTATAGGTATAAAATTCAAATGGGCCATTTCGGAATTAACCCCTTTCGAACAAAAAAATAATTTTGAAAATCTATCTATATATGACAGAGTATATACATATATACATAAAAAGAAAATAAACATCCGAGTTGATAACCTCCTTCTTTTTGAAGTCGGCTAAAAAAAAGTGACTAACAAATGATGAAAACTATCTATCAATGGATAGATCCTTTCAATACACTCACAGTCACTAAAGTACAAATTATAATAATTTATAGGTTCTGTGTAATAATTAATTTATTTATGTGTTCTGTGTAGATACATCTACCTGCCAATATGGACAAAACCCCCTTATATTTTATATAGTCGAATGTTCAACCTTTGCAACCACAGTACGGTACACTGTACCACAACTAAAAGATATTTTGCGCTTACGTAATTCTTCAAAAGGTGTATGATCAATTGATAATCGAAATAAAACAAAGTCAACGTTTCTACTTTTGTTTGAAGTTTCTACTAACAACAAGTGTGACTTATGTCTGTAAATTGTATAAAGTCTTCAAAGCCCGCCCTGTACAGACTGATCGGATATTTCAAAGTCAGACAAGGATGCGTCGCTTCTTTTTTCTTTTATTTTTATAAAAAGACACCACCCACACTAGGAATTTATCCTGTTTATAGGGAAATTTACAAACATACATTAAACGGACACAAAGAACACTCAGACTCGCAAAAACAATTTGTGGCTCACACAAAGTGTTGTCCCATATAGGGATCTGGTCTACAACGCTCAATGCAGTAGAAAGTAGCGAGGTTACCGCCTAAACAACTACGCTATTCGTGCAGCCTTAACAATAATCAGAACCCTCTCTCCAGCCACTGAAATAGGTTGGGTTTTACTTACCTTGTTAAAGTATGTTATAACAGAGATAGAAGTTGCTTCTCTTTAAGTTATTTAACTATCTGCTTTACATAAGCTTCTAACTTAATACATCCTTTTGTATCTAGTACAGTATTGCTTCAATTGTTAGTACAATATAATCCTCGAAAATAATAAGAAAAATATTCCAAATTATGATGCAGGGTATTTTGATGTTTTGCAGATACACGAACAGGTACAGATGGCGCTGGTGACTCAGGTACCTTGGACATGGGCAGCCGCTCCTCATTGCACACCGGCCTGCAAATGTCCGAAGATGAACATTGGGAGATGAACTACCATGAGGCTGCTATTTATTTGGAGGTAATTTTCATGCGCTCCTATTTAGCATGAAGTTCCTTTTGAACTGTACGTTAAATTTATTTCTTACTTTACAATCAACTTACAATTTACTTGCAATTTTTTCTGGAGCCGGTGCAATGAGTTCATTCTTCAATTAACGCACTTCTTCATTTCATTACGGAATGGTTTTTCCTTTTTCTTAGACGCCGACCCTCCTTGCGAATTGAATCGTTCTTAATATATTTTATCTAAATGTGTTATTTTAAATCCAAAAAAAATTAACAAGTCCAAACACTCAGGATTTTTCTCTTTAAGGTGGGCACTTTCATATTAATATTGCTTGCCCCACGTTAAACTAGACGTTTCAAAAATTCCAAATTCTTTCTGCTGACAAAGCCACGTTTCACTCATGTTACTCACACTCATACAATGAAGCTTTTCTAGTCGGTGTTGCCGTAATATTGATTTTGTGGCTCAGTTCGTATATCAGGAACTGAACTTTTCTTCTTTTGTATTTGTATACGTTGCAGACAAAAGGAATATTCCGGCAACAAGTATTAAAAATATTTATCATGATGATGATGATGATGATGTAATCCGACCGATTTCGGCCATGGCGACCACTTGATGCCTTATGGGACCTGGCGCTGATGCGCCCGGAGATGGCTTATATAGCCGATTTTCGCAGCAAACTCCCTTGCACAGAGTGGGCAGGTGAGCTTGCTTCTCTCATAATTATACAAACACATGGTCGTGAGACACTGACTATTAAGCTTGGTGAGGATAAATTTCGTTATCTGGGGAACACTATAACACCTAAGTGTGACCTTGATGCCGAGATCAACAGCAGGATAAGTGCTGCAGCTGCAGCATTTGGAAAGCTGTATTCCAAGGTCTTCTGCTCGCACGACATCAAGTTGGCTACTAAAATCTCGGTTTATATGGCGATCGTGCTGCCAAACCTTCTCTACTCTTCCGAGACCTGTTGTGTGTATCGTCACCATATACGCACTCTAGACCGATTCCACCTAAAATGCCTGCGCACCATCATGAAGATCAAATGGTCCGATCGGGTGCGCAATACCGAAGTTCTAAGACGACGCGCCAATGTTGGTGGCATTGAAGCATACTTAATGCGTCGACAACTCCGGTGGTGCGGTCACATCTCACGGATGGCGGAGGAGAGAGTGGCGAAACGAATCTTTTACTCTGAGCTAGAGGTGGGCAAGCGAAAGCACGGTGGACAACTCTTTAGATATAAGGATGTTCTGAAGCGTCACAGTGCGTCTCCGTATTCTTAATCCGTCACCACGCGTGTCCGTGTGGTGACGGATTAAGAATACGGAGTGTCACCATCCCAATTCATCCCGTGGGTGTCGTAAGAACCGACTAAGGGACCAAACTACGCAGGACAACAGCACTGCAAAGAGAAGGAAAAACTTGACACAAACCCTATACCAACCCGTCTGGCCAGCGTGGTATAGTAGGCCAAAACCTCCTTTCGAAGGAGAGGCCTATGTCCAGCAGTGGACTGTTAAAGGCTGTTGATGTGATGATGTGATGATGATGAAGCGTCACATGAAAAATGCAAAATTTTTCATAATTGGTCTAGTAGTGCTACAAATAAAGAATAATAGGTATATAATCATTCGAAATAAGACTCTGTTACGCTTAATTAATAACACTAGAGATCGCGTGGCGACCGTTTTGAAAGTTTGTTAAACTTCATAGGCTGGTAAAACTTGAATTGTCCTTGTCTATTCAATGGCAGTTTCAGTTAATGTTTTGTACTTTGATAGTAGACGTAGAATGTTTAATAAAATAGGACAAATTATTATTAAAAATGTTAGTTTTGTCCACTTTTTGTTCAAAAACAAAAAGTACTTATTCTAAATACGATATGTTTTAAGTTGCCATATTTGCCATACGACGTAGTAACCATCGTTGTTTCAATAAAAATATATTATATTAAACATACTTAGTTATGAAACTTGAGAAATAATTCAATCGCTGCTTCTTGGAAATAAATTGTGCAGAAAAGTTGGGTTAAGTTACGGGTAAGGATAAGGGTTAGAAGTTACGGAAATAACAGGGGTACATTTTTGGGTAGGTACACCTTGAGTTGTAATCTTCTGACCTGTGCCGCTTCCATTCTCATCTACTTAACGAGTTGAAGCGCACAAGCTTATTGGAGGAAATTGAATAGGGAATGTTTGAGAGCCCCATTTGTATTTGAGTATTTAGAGGTAACGCTAAATACTATTAGATAGCCCATTACTTGTTTGAAAAATTAAAATAGGTTACAAAAAACTCCAAAAATAAAAACTACTAAAGAGGGTCGAATGTTGTTTGGGGAATCAATAACCGATTAAATTTGGTATGGAGATAGGTTGATTCTTGAGGAAGGATATAGGCTTTTTACCGTGATAATCGATACAAACAGTCCACTGCTATGTCCAGCAGTGGACTGCGATAGGCTGATGATGAATCGATACAAACGCGGGCGGAGCCGTGGGCAAAAGCTACTTACAAATAAAGTAATAATATGGGTATGCACTCAGGGCTTTTTGTAACGTCAGGTAGTTCATAGTTATCTACTTTGGTCTGCCTGACGTTTCGAAAAGGCCTGAACGTAAATCACAAGTACTTTCTCTTATTTCAGGAAGGTCTTAATAATGAAAAGTTCGACTCCCACCCGTCAAGTCCAGAGGAATTACCTGCGTATCTCAGGGTACACAACCCATGGTACCATGGATTAGACTTACTGGCATCTCTGGTGCTCATTCTTCTAGCGTTCACTGAAGATCCTGCTGTACCCACATTCGAAGTAAGTAGCAGTTTGAAACAAAACTAAACAAAAACATTGTCTTGGATTTTTTCAACACGTGTTTCGTAATATTTTTGCAATTGTGCAATTTGTTTTATAATGGCAAAAATGACGCATGAAGAAATGGCTTAAATCGATTCGATCGATCGAGTTAAATTAAAATAAAACAATATACATTTTTAAAAATAAAGTTGTGTGCTCAACGCACTTACAAATATTGAAAACTTGTTTAAAGACACATTTCCTACTGTAATTACTAGATTGCGTTTTTTAGCAGTCTCACGTTTCATTGGGGTGTCAGAAGTGTCGGATTTCTGTCAAAAGCCAGATCGAGTTTCAGATATAAGATCCTGGTCTGTAGAGCTAATGTTTACCGTCTTCAATCATTTTGTGTAATAAGAAAATTCTATTTTCTTTCATAAAAATGTCCTGTCTTAAAAAAATTCCCAGCTTTACATTTTGGTTGCAAAGTGACGGCTGTGGCCTTACCCGTTTTTACATAAGTATAGTTCAGTAAATTATGGGAATCATTTCACAAATCCTCTTTTATAGAAAAAGATACTTGCCGTATCCTTTTTGTGAATCCAGACTCAAATTAAAGTTCTAAAGAAACTAAAATTTGCTCTACCTCCTTTTCGAAACAAATGTCTTAGAGTCGTTTAAGAGGAGTATTAATGATTAGAATGTAAATAAAAAACGAAAAACAAATTAAAATCACTGTAAATAAACACATATATAAACATATATATATATATATATATATATATATATATATATATATATATATATATATATATATATAGTACACTGACAGGCTGATCACAGTCATAAGGATACAAAAGAAAACACTGACAAAACAATATTTATAACGATATTCGACATCATAACATATTTAATAATGTTGCCTTGCCTTGCCTTATCCGTTACCTGAGTTTATTGATTCCGTGTGTCTAACAAAGGACTGGTGGGCGAGTCTTCTTTTTTAGCTGACAGGTAGAAATAAAGTTTTATTATTTTATTTTTAATTTTTGGAATCATTCCATTCTTTATAGATGTTATTGGTTGGGACACTAGAATTGGGTTGTGAGGTTCTGGCCAGGTTCAGACAATTTAGAGTTATTTAACTATACTCGTACTCGTAAAAGGGTAACGAATTTCTTTATTTGGTGAATACAAGGTATTTTATTTTGTTCTTTTAGTTACCAGTATGGGCTCATGGCACGATAGAGCTTCTAGCACTGACGGTGATTGGCGTAGAGCTACACCTTAAACTGAAGTGGATCGGATGGGGCACAATACTAAAACACAAGAGGACAATGATAAAGGTAGGTCATGGAAAGCGTTAGTGAATCCAGATAATCTAGAGTAATTTGTATAGGTCTGTTCTAGACTTCGTTCAGGTGAAAAAGGAACTTTACTTGAATTATTTTATTTCATAATGTTGATTAATTGTTGTTGTTTAATTGGAGTAATTATGATGGAGTAATTATGAATACTTCAGGCCATTTTTTTCTATTTAACTTCAACTTTATTTGTGTACATTTAGTTACATTCTTTGTCCCCCTAAACCGGGTTGGTGGTTTGAGCATTATTTAATTATGAAATTAGAGTGTTCTATTATCCAAACTTTCTGCAAAACCATTTCAATAATCTCTGATCGTGTCTTGTTCCAGGGGATAACCCTACTAATAATGGTCCTGGAAGCAGTGGTTGTGTTATGCCGACAGTCTTCACATTTTCGAGTGACGCGAGCTCTTCGACCTATTTTTCTAGTAGATACAAGACACTGTGGTGGCGTCCGACGGTTCATCAGACAGATACTTCAGTCTCTACCACCTATTATTGATATGTTAGGTAAGTGAATAGTAAATAAAGAACTTGTAATGACTGGAGTCAATTTCTTTTGTAGACAACGACCTAAAAGTCTTACCCTGCGTTACTTCCCAAAATGTTCTTGTGTGCTCATATATTCTGACTCTGGAGATTGTTTGCATGTTATCTATCTCTCTTGTTTTAGAGAGTACAAATAAAATCAATAAATTGTTAAAAAGTAACATATTCATAGTGACCCTGACTGCTAAGCTGGAGGTCGTGGGTTCAATTTCCACCCAGGACAAATATTTGTGTGATGAGCACGATTGTTTGTTCTGTTTCTGGCTGTAATTTATCTATAATATGTTACATACATATTATAGATAAATTACACCCAGAAATATATAAGTATGTTTATCAGCAGTCTGGTTATCATTGCACAGGCTCCGCCTAGTTTGGAATCGGATTGCCGTGTGTAAGATGTGTGAGGTTTATTATATTATTATTATTCAAAGTGACTTTGTCGAACGCTTTGTTTGAATTTAAAAATATGGTTATCAATATTTTTTTACAATGGTGTACTGGCCGGTAACTTTCAGGATTACTAATGTTCTTCGTGGCAACCTACTCGCTGCTGGGCTACTATCTTTTCTCAGAACACGTTGACAACGGACACTTCCAGACCATCAGCGATTCTTTTGTCAGCATGTTTGTACTACTCACGACAGCCAAGTAAGTCTATGTCTGTTTTAGTTTTCAATTATACAAGTAGATATTTTAAATATTTGAATTTGTCTACATCATTTCAGCTTTTGAGATAGAAGTGGTAGCATGTGAAAAAAGATTTAGATATTAATGTTATTCCATTCTTTTGTTCGAAATCATCCTCCATCGATCAATCCATCGTTTGATGACCACATTTGGAATTTAATACCCGAGCTGTGGGAAATAAATGTAAAAATCCACGTTTATGAACAAGGAAATTATAGGTTTCTAATAAGAAAAGCTTAGCTTACCATTGTGAATAGAACAAATCAAATCTATCAATTTTATGATTTTACGCTACAATTTTTTTTTAATTCAAAAGAAGTAATATTATTCTTGTTTTCAGTTTTCCAGATGTGATGATGCCATCGTACGCCAAGTCCAAGTGGTACGCGGTGTTCTTCATACTGTACATCATCACTGTTCTCTACGTGCTCATGAATTTGGTATGCCATATTTTTTGGAAGAAAAAAAAAATATAAGCATTATAAATTTAAAGGCTGTAATAATATAGTCAGTGGTATACCGTCGGTAGATGTTGGCGGTAGTGTACGAGACGTTCACCCGCATCGAGCGAGAGAAGTGCCGCGCGTTGCTCCTACACCGGCGGCGCGCTGCTCGGCACGCCTTCCGCCTGCTCGTGTCGCGCCGCGCGCCTCACGCCGTGCGCTTGCGTCATTTCGCCGGCCTCATGCGTCACTATGCGCCGCATTATAGTACGTACGAAACTCAAAGTAATCGAAACATATGAAACCCCACAAAAAAGTATTTTTAGAATATTTAGTATGCAAGTTATGGTTGGTTATATGTTTTCTGTTTATTACCTTTTAAAGGAGTAAAACTCTGAACTAGGTCGTGATCTTGCTATGGACAATACCAAGATTAAAATTAAGTATACTATTACAGAAAGGATAGAGATAATTTTCATACAAACAATAAATTTCATGACTTTAAATTGAACTCTTCTCATGTTTATACCTCAACTTAAACCAAGAAAAATGATCCTAAGAAATATTTAAAATGATCCTAAGGAATAAATTATTATTATTTATTATTTATTCCTTCAAACCGATTCACTTATAAAAAAATAACTATAGGTGGTTTGGATGTCTACCTGATGTTCAAGCAACTCAACCAATCCGCATCGGGTGGTCTGTCACGCAGCGAGTTTGCCAACTTATACGACGTGTTCGCGCTCCGGTGGGCTGGACAACACTCCAGGGCGCCTTGGTACGCGCAGTCGCCGCTGGAGCCTCTCGGCCGAGCTGCTGCAGCTGCCTTACGGTGGCCCTACTTTGAATATCTTATTTGTAAGCGTTTATAATTTTTTTGTAAAATTTCTTTCTTCTTTGTCAAGTGACTTTTTGGAGCACATAACCTCTGTTGTTAAACAGAAGCAAAATAATTCGTATCCATCCATTCACCCACGTTTCCATTTGAATTAAGAGCCCTTTGTCTGCTCCATCTGTGTAAATAATCGGCAAAAAATAAGACACGAATCAAGATAAAATACAGTTGAGACTTAAGTGGTATAACTTGAACAAATGTAATTTTCAGATGCTCTTATTATCGGAAACGGAGTAGCGTTAGTTCTCCGAGTGTGTGAGGCGGCTGGTGACCTGCAGGACAGCGCCAGACTCTTGTGCGCTTCATGGGATACCTGGTTGTTCCTCTCATGTAAGTTAAACGAGTATTTTTAAATTACGTACCTGCTTCTCCTATTACCTTTAACTCATATTTCTTTAACAAAGCATTAGTATATTTAATTAAATACACTAATTTTCTACAATATTTTCAGTATTCCTAATAGAGGCAGGTTTGCGAATGATGGCGTCTGGTTTGAGCGCGTACCTTGAGAGTGGCTGGAACGTGTTCGACCTAAGCGTGACGCTCCTGGCACTCATGGGCGCCGTGCTACTCAGCATTGCACCGAAACTCTTCATCGTCGTTATTTTCAGACCTCTGAGGTGAGTTTTAACCATGGCCAGATTAGCTTTTTATTATAACTAAGGTGTTGTATTCCATAAGTGAAACGCAACTCTAAGGCTTAATGTCGTTGTCATACGTTTCAGAACGCAGCAGTAAAGTCCAACAAATGACTAGTAATCAAGATCTGCAGAGACTATTATTTAATCACTGCAATGCTACTCATTTCCTCGTACTTCTAATAAACTAAATAATAATATATCTCACACATTTCAAACACGCCCGTCTGATCCCAAACTAAGCAGAGCCTGTGGTATAGTGCCAGACTGCTGATAAACATTCTTATATATTTTTAAATACATACATATTATAGATAAATCATACCCAGACACAGAACAAATCATCAACCCACGATCTCCAGATTAGCAGTCAGGACCACTAACCACTAGACCAACAGGCCCATACTTCTAATATACTCTGATCTATTCCAGGCTGATGCGTCTCTACAAGCTCAAGAAACGTTACCGCGACGTGTTCGGGACACTGGTGCTGCTATCACCTCTCATGTCATCCGCTGGTTGCGTCATGTTGGTCATGTATTATTTCTTTGCCATCATCGGCATGGAACTCTTCGCCTCTTACGATCTAAGAAACTGTTGCGTGTGAGTATAGTATAATATTTTGGAGAAAAGTGCAGCAACTCGAATAAACAAAATGTATAGTAAATATGGTTAAAGTAACTATATCGCTCGAAACGATTTGAAAAAAAACTGGTAGGGCATAAAAAAGAAATTGAAGTGGACAAAAGTTGTGTTTTCTGCTTATCAATAAGTCCAGGCAAGGCCTAAGCTCGTTTTGGATTAGAGTTGGTATAGCTCGACTGATATTATTGACGTCACGAATATGCTTTTTTTCCAAAAAAAAATATTTCTAATGATTCTAATACAACTAGTGTGTACTCTAAGGCCATTAATCCACACTCATGGATCAATTACATCGATTCTTGTCGTTGTCGATCATAAATAAAGTGACAAAACTTTGCGTTTCAGTAACACTACGGTGGAAGACTTCTACAAATACTCGCTGAACGGTTCCACGGCCTTAGGTTACTACTACCTGAACAATTTTGAGAACATAGTCACGAGTGGGGTCACTTTGTTCGAACTCACAGTCGTCAACAATTGGTTTATACTGATGAACGCATATGCCACAGTGTCTGGTCAGTTCAGTAGGATATATTTTATGGTAAGTTGATAAACATTAAAGCAGTGTATGGTAGTTTCCGGTTTACTGTTAATCGGTTGCGGATTTTTTATAACAAATCTCTGTGTTAATGATTTGTAAACCACTTATAACATAGAATTTACTTTATTTCATTTATAAGTCAACCTCTTTATCAGGTCCATTGCAATTGTGTCCGCACCAACATCCGTAAGACCGATATTCTAGTCACATAATATTTGTAGTTCAGCATCCAGATTAAGAAATTACACTGTGGTATGAATCTGTATGAGACCGTGTCATGTAAACGTGTCTGTATCGTTCCGTCACCGTATGACGAGCTTTAGTACAGAACCTGAACTGTATCTACGAACATGAACATGTATCTACGAGTATATGTAGTGTCAGCTTCATTTAAAGTAATGATTTAGCAGAATCTACTTAGTTTCACAACAATTTGACAATCTACATTTCAGGTGTTCTACTTATTCACTATGGTTGTACTGACTATTGTGGTGGCGAGTGTACTGGAGGCCTTCAGATTCAGGATACAGTATAAGCGTAGCACTACTAAGAGAGATGGTGAGTATTTTAAATGTAATATGTAAAGAATTTGTGTACCTATATATAGGTATATAAAGTCTTTATAAATGAAGCAAAAGCTGCCCAAATAGGTACTACTTTGTCAAGTTTAAGACAATTTTGATATAAGGAAGGACTGTCTCAGTCTCTTGTAATAGACTGACATGTGATGAAACACAATGAGTTCTTAGCCGGTTCGATGCCGAAATACCACTTAATCCTGAACCCCGATTAGGTGATGACCCCTGCGTATCAGACCGTAATACTTTGTCTATCACGGTCACAAATATGTTATTATACTTTGAGTTGTGTACGTCATAACGAATGTTATGTAAAATTCACGGTAACCACTCATACACTTTAAGAATGTTAATAAATAAAATCTATCTATATGTATATAAGAGATTTCCACGTATTATAGTCACTCATCACGATATCTCTGGAACCCTTAGAGCTAAAGACTTGAAATTTGGTAGGAATATTCTTTTCACCGAGTAGAGGTCAGCTAAGAACGGATTTTAAGAAATTCAAAAGAAAAAAATATATGTAAATAGCAAAACAACGTTTGCAGGGTCAGCTAGTATAAATGTATAATTTTTAAGCATTTTTTTCAGGCATCAATCAGGTTTAAAATTTCAATAAAATGCGTAATTAGGTATTTGGGAAGAGTTACGTAATTATTCGGTTAATTTTTGTTTTAATGTCACTTTAAGCAATTAGTTCAAATTTTTGCTTGCTATTTACAGAGGAGAAACTTCTTCACGAAGAGGTTCATACTAATTGGGAGGAGGCTCAAAGGATTGGCGTTAGCGGTGAACTCTCTGAGGAGCTCAGGCCTCACCTACCACCCGGGGTAAGACATAATAATATACTTTTTAACCTAAATAATATAAAAACAGACTTTACGCCACTTCGTAGAGTAGTTTGAAATTTTATCTGGAATTATTTAAGATATGCACCACGAAAGAAAATTTAACATTTCAGACCTAAATGTGCATTATCTATACAGATAAGTAAAAGTGTATGTTTGTTATGTCAAAATAATAGGTTTCCTTCACGCTCACACGGTTATTTGTAGAATACCTGTGCCTAAAAACTAGTTCAATTCTTTTCTGTCTGTGTGTAATCTTCAAAACGGTTGGACAGATTGATAAAATTTTAGTACCAGCTCTCTATATAAGGAGTAACTTAAGCTATTTTTCCTCTAAGAAAAACCCTATTAAATTTTGCACGCTCAGGGAAACGAAACCCGAGGACTGCAGTTGCGTACCGTACTACACCACTAAGGCAGCGCTTTTCAAATTGGACGCGAACGAAGTCGCGGGCACCAGCTAGTTAGATATAAAAGAGACGTAGTTAGATATTATTAAGTTCAAAAATTCAAGTTCAAGTCAATTAAAAAATTAATTAAAGTGTCAGTTATCAACTTCCGGGGTTTTAAATAATTCAAAAGGTAATTTAGTAAAATTACAAAATTTCATGTTTCTAGTTCGGTTTAAGAATTTTATCACTTAGCAAAAGGTAAGGGATACCTTAAAACCTCTGCAATTAGGTCGAGTCACAGTGAGTGAAGATAACGTAAAAGCAAGTTCTTTGCTACAAATAATATATATGCAACAAAAAACTTGTAATAATAAAAAAGTTATGTAAAAGTAATTTGGTTGAACTTAACGATAAATTCGAATTTGTTTTCTTTATCAGTGACAAAGAATTTGCACTTACATTGACATTTAACTTTTTGATCTGATATTCTCAAATTTGTGTGTGTACTTGTGATAGTCGACAAAATTTTTTTTGACTGCCTAAGTGGTGCAGTGGTAGCGTTTGCGACTGCTGTGCTAAGATCTCGGGTTCGAGTCTCGGGTCGGACCAAATGTTTGTATGATCTGCAAATGTTTGTTTCGGAGTTTGGGTGTTTTCTGTGTATAATATGTATATATTTACAAAAAATCAATCAGTCAATCTAGTTTTCATAGTACAAACTCTGATTAGTTTGAAACAAGATGGCGTTGTGTGTCAGATGTCCCAAAGTATTAAGTACCTATTTTTATTTTTTGGTATGATGACAGGTGGAAGTCACATTTATTGGATCTCGTCCACGAACGAAGGAGGTACTGCAGCGGCGGATGTACCAGACTGAGATACAGAAATGGCTAGCAGAGGAGGACGAGAATGAAGGTGTGTTCACAGTTTTCTTATAATTTTATTATTGTTAAAACCTTAAAAAAGTTTGAGAACTGACTGTTTGCCTCATGTAGAAGACCGATTGCTTTGTTTTGCTTGATACTATATTTACTTCATATTGTATTACTTATTTAAAATTTACATAATTTTAATCACTGTTTCTCTTTTGTTAACTAAGTTAATTAACTAACTAGTAGCTAACTAGCTCGAAGTGGTAGTGAGATGATGTTGAAAAATATTTACTTAGAAAGCATAATGAAATGTTTTGAAATTCACTCAAAATAAGGGACGCTCCGAACTTTCCACTTACCGCAAAACTAAATAGTGTGTATCATTAAACAGGTCTGCCACCTTCGACGACAATAACCTCAAGCGAGGATCCACTAGCGCCACCCTTGATCCACCAACCTGATGCCGAAACCAACCACCAGATGAGAACGGGTTACCAATTGTAGAACATAATACATTTAGCCCTGTACCAGAGGCTAATATTCATCTGGGATGCTCTCAAGAGCTTATGATGGGCTATCAGAGGGTGGGCCCTGAGCTGGCTTCAAGCTTAAGCCAGTCACTTCAAAATAACGGGACTCAATAAGTACTGGCTTTAGTATTTCTTTTATATAGTGAACAATCTGCTTTAATAAATACGTCTTTTCTATAACATATGATACAGATATAAAATTATGATTGACAGAACAATTTCAGATAGTTGAAGTTATGCCAATGATGACGAGATGTCTATTTCGTAATTTTATATTATTTTTATTAACTTTTTGCTAAGAAAATAATATTTAAAACACTGTTAAATGAGTAATCCCGTCGAATTGATGGCAATACTTTAAAAAAAATAGATGGCATTTCAATTCCTAGTATTAATTATTTTGCCAGTTAGTTAATAACCTAATAATTAGTAGTGCGAGTGTATATTAACAGTATTGAAAGTTAGTAACATCTGTGATAGAATGATTAAAGGGAATGAGGAGTTAAATTCGATTGTACAGGCAATTACATATTATTGTGAAAATAGTTGTGTGACCTTTCACATTACGGAGTCTTGTGATTCTCGGTAGCTTGTAATATTTATTAACTTAGACTAAGTTCCATTTCGTTATATTTATATTATTCTTTGTTTCATACACCCATTACTGAACAAAATAACAGTATTTAGATGTGTTGATTACTTTTGGTTGTGTTTTTATTTGGTTGTATTCATTTACATAACGTGCATAATTATTATGAAGTACATATTAAGACTATCCCATAGTTCAGTGGTCGTTTGTAATACTGATGTTTTAAACAAAAAAATACTTATTTTATTCGTTTTCAATCATGTTTACGGTTAATACGTAGAGTTATATGTGTAAATTATATTTATAATAATAAAATAATTAAATCGCCTTTGTAGTTTTAGATAGAAGGGTATTTAAAGGCCAAAACGTGAAATAACAATATCGAGTGCACGCATAGACTGATTGAATGTCGAATAACAAATTTGTTTTACTAAAATTAGTGTATTCGCAAATGCTGTATCATATAGGTAGGTGAATTAAGTAGGTATTTGTTTAATTTTACTGATTTTATATTTGATTTGTACAACCACAGATGTTCTAAATGCACAGTATTATATTTAAATTAGCTTTGCATTATTTTTTGCAAGTGGCAACTAAAAACAGCAACACCTTTGATTTATAAAATGGAATATTAAAATATTTGGCCAATATTTTAATGACAAATGTTGCCATGTGTTTTTTATAGTAATAAATATTTTAACGAGTAAAAACCTACATAACAGAATCTTATCTGACCGATAGGAGAACTTCTATTTGATTCCTAGTATTTCATGATTCAACAATCCAGCGACATCTCTCCAATTTTAAGAAACTAAGTAGTACTTGTGGGTATCCTTATAAATATATTTATTATTCTTCAAAACAAACTAAAACATTACCTACATTTACAATACAGACTAACAGCCAAGTTGGGATTCAAATCCGAACTCGCCAGTTTTAGATACTTCAATGTGGCCTAGTTCCAGTTCAAAGTAGATACACTAACTGACTATTTATATTATATGTGTCTACTTAGTATGCCACAACAATAGCAATTAACAAACAAGTACCTATTGGATGTTATGAACCTACACTATTCCATAGCTATGTAAAACACTTTTGAAAGTTCATATATTACACATCGCGTCATGGATAAAATACGTAATGCGTAATATAATTTATTCATTTTATCAACTAAATAATATTATAATTTTATATTATGTTAAAATAGATAAAATAGTCATTTATTGTGATAAATAACAGTATGGACCATAAATCGAATTATTTACACACAAATATATTTTTTTTATTTAATCAATTATTTATTTCTTATCTTTTTATTTTTAATCGTTTGGTATCTCAGTATTAACTTTAATATAAAAAAATTAAATAATTAAATAAATTTCGATTGTGTAAGTAATTAATATGTTTGTAAAAATATTTTCGTGATACCTTATGAATTTGTTTGACTAAAATAAATTACCCTAAAGACGAATTTATAACAATAAAATGTCACATAATAGTCAAAGTAATAAGTAGCAACGGAATCCTTATTTTCGCAACTGTAAGTATTGATAATAGATTAACTACACAAGATATTGTATAACCGTTAAATAGTAATATATGATGATTATTCACAATAATATTATATATAAATATTCCGTATTGGTGTTCGCAGTTAATTAGTGATAACAATTTTAGTCAAATTTACCGTAGATTACAAAGGATTTTCTATATTAATTTCATACAAAACTTTTAATGTTATTTCATATTATTGTATTATTTTGACCAAGGCATTATTGATATATTTTATTAATAGGTAAATTCTTTCCTGATAAAAAAAATGAAAACAAAATAACAATAAATAAGAATTCTTAGGAAGCAATTAATAAAGAATAATATTTAATGTAGTTTTGTTCTCATTAGTCTTGGCAGCTACTAAAGATATCCTGTCCATATATCTATACCAAATACAGCATTAATATATCTTGTTACCCCTCGGAAGTATTAAAACTAGGATCTTATTAAAATAAAATAGTTTGTTTGATCGAAGGCTAGGATAAATTATAATACGGATGCAGTAAGCTGTGTAACCACTAGTGATGTGTCGGATATCACCATCAGAATCTTTGCTATTATAATATTTCATTACATTTTAAAAAATCTAGATTAATTTTGCTGAAAATAAATATCTGATACGTATATAACGAAAAGAGTTACTTTTAACTATTATTTTAAATTGTAAGGTACTATTAAACAACTTTCATAAATATGTATTCCCGGATTTGGGTGGGAAATTGTGAGTATTCTAAAAGGTCAATATCAGGGTCGCGTAACTGTAACTAGAATTCGCTAATTTCAAAAATTCCAAGCTAATAATCCGTATACGCAATCACATCAGTAGTAGTGCTAAGGTTCAGTATAAACTTGTTGACTGTCAAGTCAAAACACAGATAACTATATACTAGTCAGAGAAGTCAAAACAGTTTCTCTTCTTCAACAAAACAGTACACGTTCCGTTTTCGCTTTTTGTAAGAACGTGTTTAATGAAATTATAATTTTCGTACATAGGTACGTAAGTTAAGTTAAGTGTGGTCAAATTATTACTTATGGTTGTTTTAACAAGAAACAATAAAAACAAACTTGCAATTAGTAAGGGATTTCATTTTTTAGTCTTGATAAGGTAACGTAAAGTCGTGATAATCATCCATTTCTGTGGGTATTCGAATGTTAAACTTAAAAATATGTAAGACGATCTCTCTTGCTTCTAGTGATCCTCGGTATTTTCGGTTTTTACATTAAATATTACAATAAGAGGTAGTGTGGATAACAATAGAGTTATGATATACAACGGAGTTTTTGCTTGTATGCAGGCCCGTCTCTAATTTATTGGAGGCCCTGGGCAAATTAGCATAGTAGGGTCCCTACGAACTTAGCTGAGCACTATTTTGTTAGAATGGACAAATAAAGTATTGTAGTGTCATTACAAATGAATTTTTCGAAATAATTATGTTTTTCGGTGCTAAATATTGATTTTCGATTGGTGATCTGGCAGGAGTCGGGTCCCTATCCATCGTGGGGCCCTGGGCACGTGCCCAGAGTGCCCAGTGGGAAAGAGGGGCCTGCTTATATGAGTGTTTGACTTGTGGTAGGCAGTTGGTAATTTGGTACCTACACCTAAGCTAAAATAAATTTAGTACAAGAATTTCTCGGCTTTATTCATATAGTGTTTATCCGAATATATTGTTAAAGTGATATTATTGTTTATTGTAAACAGCCTTTTACATTAATTTTGTGTGTAGTTCCATTACTTAGGCACTCAATAGTCCAAAGACGTACAAAGATTATCTAATGATACCAAAAACACAGTATAACTTTGTAAATAATTTAAACGAAATATGACCAAACTAAAATCTATGATTCTTTGTATACTTTTAATTTTCAAACCTGAACTCACAAACAACGTTAATGTGTCTTGTCATACTATTTTTGAAGCTACAATAAAAAATATCTCACAACCTAATGTCATCACATCATCACTAATAATCGATAATCACATCACTAATGTTATTTTTTAATCCGGTTTATCTGCCTACAGAAATTGCCTTTGTCGCCGTTGTGAGACATGGTAGTATCGTACACAGAGTACCTTCATTCATATATGTATCGTTTGTCGGCAAGGTTTAAAATTTTACGATATAAAATAAATTTAATTCCTCAATAGAGGAATCTCTTAAAGGCGGTCCCAAACATAGACTGGAAATATCGAATATCTAATTATTACTGGATAATAATATTTAAAATCGTTTTGTTATAAAATGTTTATTATTTATAGTTAGCTTTCGCTTCGAATGTATTGATTTTCTTCAAATAGCATAGGTAATATACATGCATACCTACATAGGTATACTCCATATTTGATTTAATTATAATTAGCTGTTAAAATTCTGTTGGTGTACAAGAATGTTTATTTCTATATTTAGGGATGTTTTGTACCAGTATTCGATCTTCCATGTTTTACTAATATATTGTAAAACTCTTGTATTTTATTGTTCGGAAATGGATTCTAAAAATGTATATGTTATTTTAGAACAAAATAATTATTACTTTTGTTTTGAATTACAAAAATTCACATACACTGAAGTTTAATTTTCGGTATTACTACTTTTATAATTCTACGATGTTGCACCGATACGTACATACTTCTTGTTTTGTTCACGTCTATACCCGCTATCTAAAAACCCTTACAGAAATAAAAGATTTAGTTCTAACTGTATATTTGTGTTTTGTTTTTGGTAAGTCAAACATTTTGGATTTACCACGCTTTTATAATTACTGGATAATTAGTAAGTTTAATTTTTATCCATGAAATTTAATAGTCTATGTCATGTACGTAGTCTAACTAGACGATTTGGTTTTTGACATTATACAGAGATTAAGAATACTGCTACAAAATTTGTTAATCAAAATTAAATAATCATTAATTGAGGGAAAAACTTCCTTTTGCAGTAATTTAGGATTACCCTGAGCTGAGTAAAACTTTAGTATGTATCATACCTACAACATCTAACGCGAGCAGTCAAAGACAGGGGAAATACCTATTATATTCAATACCGATTAGATATAATGCTTAAAATAAAAAGCAATATAATATTCAAATGTTTTATTCTCTTTCCAAAATTATTAAACTTTCTATTTACTCAACGGTTTCTAAAATACATTTTTATTCAGCACCAATTAACACTAAATTATTGAGAGCGATATATAACCACGTACTACTTAAATTCAATAATTATTATGAAATACTAATACCCAAGGATGAAATCTCTCGATATTTTAGGAATGTCCTTTTACTGAGACAGGAAAGGCATGACGCCTCACTAAGTGTTGCCAGAAAACAGTATTATCAAACAGTCGATAACATTTTTTTTTATTTTGGCTTTAGCAACACTGATATTGAAAACACTGACCCCGTACAAGAAGTGTTACTTTTTCATCAAATCTGACGAACATAAATTTTTATCACAATTACACTGGAATAATTACGAAATAACTAATAAGCAGTCTAATGGAAGACACCAGAATTTATAAATATTTAATAAAACACGTCCACACATTTAAAATATTCAAATAACACGAATACATGAAGCATACATTAAGATTTTCTGTACTAGGATTAAAACAATCAATTAAACGTTTTATTTTTAAAACAACACTGAATGCTTTACCTTTTTTAATTATGTAGATATATATGCAACTAGTTATGATTTTAAATTATTATTTGATTTTTATATACACATTCTTTACTATAAAAGGATACAATCCAACATAAAAAGAAAGCACATTTTGAAAATATAAAGAATACCTAATAATAAATCATGCAAGAAAGAGTAATTAGTGGTTTCACAATGATAAATTGAAAAATGCAATTAAATCATGGATATTTTATAATGATTACAAACCCCTCGCTAACACCCGTAATTAAAATGAATAAAAGAGGTGGGTATTTTATAAATAAATTAAACTAAACAATTATTCTATAATAAATATAATATCATTTAGACATATGAAATGATTATTGGAATCCAATTGTTTCTAGGTTATGTCAAAATTGTCACTAGTATAAATGTGGCCATGGCATTAAATTACAATGCAAACCTAAATATTATTGACAACAAACCAAGAGTGGTAGAAATGCAGGCAATGCAGCTCATTCGTTCAATACACAAATGGCGCTGTAATTGGGACAGTATTACTACTAGTTGTATAACACATCGAATTTATTTAACTTTTTATGCATATTTTGTGCACAGTTACACTATTGTCCATTCGCGTTAAGAAAACATTCTGATCAATTAGGTTCCAAGCTTTCGTACGAAACGATAATGTCTTGGAACCCTGATTGGTCAGGGGGCGGGGCTTATTGATGCGTCACCATTTTCTTAACGCAAATAGTTCATAGTATAATAGTTTTTAACGGATGGTTATGTATATAAAATCTCTACATCTGATCTATGTTTCTTAAAACCTCCTTGCCCATAATGACCCTGTCCCTCCCTCCCATAATAAACATAAATCATAACTCAAAAAATCCGATGTCACTGAACTTCTTTTTTCCATGTGTATCATTAGAAATTCATGTATATGTCAGAAACCGATTACAGTAGATAGAGTTATAATGTCGAATTTTCCACAATCGATAAAAACGTTGTAATTTGGAGGAGAATGTTCGTGGCATAACCTCTTTTGGATTAGCAGGGATAATAATATATTTTAATGTATGTCCCACTGTGCTAAAGATAAATATAGATCACATAATATATACTGTAAGAAGTTAGGCAGTCTGTATATATTTTTAAACATACAGTTTTAATTTAGATTCTACCTGTTTTTAGTAGTATATATTCATATATATTTATTTTTATTAGTATTTACATATATATATATATATATATATATATATATATATATATATATATATATATATATATTATACAAATAAATAGGCCTGGTATCGCATATAAAATAACAACGTTCCATAATTTAACCTCAATTCTACAACTCGTTTAAAGTAACACTTTAAACTCTAAAACAGATCCTATACGTAATAAATTAGGGAAGAACGCCTGTATTTTAGGCCTAAGAAAATTTGGACAACACAACACAGCGACAACTTTGACATATTTATTTTATTACGTATTGTACTCCATACCTAAAAAAATAATTATAAATACAACCTGATATCATCCTCATATTGGATTCGCATAAACAAAATACGAGTAAACAAGACTTAATTTTTTATAGAAACTTAGGTTTACGTAAGATGTTTGTCGGACTCATACGAATATTTCTCGCATAATAATGTCTTTGAGTTTTATTTGTACGTTTATAATAATAAAACTATACATAATGAATAAAAATTAAACATTTTATGTCAAACATTTAAAGACATAATCAGACAAGTAATCTAATATATAATTAAATAATGTACACATTTCATTTTCTAATGTATAAGACATAATAATTAGAATAATATTTAATTATAGATTTATTAAAAAAATGTTTTAGCATCCTTATTAAGGAGCCAACAGTTACCTTGCAAAAAGTATTCGTACGATTGACATGAAGAGTCGACGAGGTAGAAAATATCATTTATGATAATTTACACATACCCATACGAACTTTCAGTTACGATTACTTGAAGGAAATAGTCGTTGTACATAATATACATTTTTCTATACACTGGGAAGTGTAGAATTATATATAAATTACATATAAGGCCTTTATAACTTTCATTTATACCTTTTTTGAAGCGTTATTATCTCTTTTCCCTTGAACACGTGTTCATTCCATGTATGAGGACACACAACATACACACTTTTTATAAATAAACGTACACAAAAATGTGAATCAAACCCGTCTCCTATCATATTCGTATATTTTCGATACGACTACAAGTTTACATTCCCAGGTACATTTTTGTCTCCTCATACCCATACAATTAAAAATCCAAACGATCACTTGTAATACTCTTTACACTTGTGATATAAAACTATCGCCCATTTAGTCTACGATAGAATATATTACTATCAAAATAACTCTATCGTTTTATTAGATAAATGTTATTAGAAACAATTGCTTAGCGGCCCGTTCAACAAGAAATTGTTTCACAAACATCACCCATGTCCAAACTGACACTTAGTGGAGTCTTATAAGTCGACGCACGGAAAGGGACCGCTACGCGATCCGGGGCCGCTTGCCGGGAGACCGTCGTCACATCTCAATAGAGACGCCGCGGCCGCCGAGTCTCGTCTCTTTCACTCTGAAACCGTTTTCTAACAGTTGTCCTGAGAGCGAGTCTACCGTGGTGCGAGGAGTCGCCGGTGGAATTAGTACCATAGCGTAGCTGAAATAATAATTGTCACAATTAGAATTTTTCTTTTTATGATGACGAACTAGAGATTCGCCTGTTTTGTAAAATAATTAAACTGGTGACTGCCAAGTGTAACCGTCAACTGTCACCAATCATCATCATATTACCAACGTTTACTACTCAAACTGCCTAAAAAGCACTAGTAGTATTTATTACATTTCAAAATTCTAATTTATTTAATAGTTTACGACGGCACCGATGGCGTAGTGGTTTAAGCGATCACCTCGCCGCTTCTTGCTGCGCTGGGTGTTGTGGGTTCGATCCCCACATGGGACAACACTTTATGCAATCAAAAAATTGTTGTTCTGAGCCTAGGTGTATTTGTGACCATTTCACGTATATTTGTAGAAAGTTTCCCGGGGAACAGGATTTATTCCACTAGGAATAAATCACGGAGGAATAAATCCCGGGAATCCCGGTCTTTAAAAAAAAAGAGTTTACTAGCTGTACCCTGAGGAATAAGACTGACGCAAAAAAAATAGATTAAAACCATCTTTGAAGCGGTTTGTATAATATTATTATCTTGTCAAAATTCGAGCTCAATCGGTGAAGGAATGTTTGAGTTTTTGAAGCGCACATTTTAATATATATATATATATATATATATATAGAAAAGATAGATTCTATTGATACGTTGTGTGTTTTAACAAAAGCAAGCCGAGAAATCAAACTTGTGCTGGAAGATGTAGGCCATTAAAATCCAATTATCTTGAAACGAATTCATGTCTCGCTCGTGAAATGTACCATATCAATATATGCATCTAATAATAATCTTACCCTCCACCGCCGGCGCCGGTGAGCTTACACGCGAGCCCTTTGGCACGCGCAAGACTTCGAATAGTCTCTAACGCTGGGTGCGAAACTCCCAACGCAGAAAGCAGGCAATGGTTCATGTCCCAAAGTTCCTGTGAAAGGCAAAAAGTCATTAGTATTTCTTTTTACCTAATTAGAAACACAAACTATCATATCAAACTACTTTCAATGGGTTTTTAGTTCAGTCATAATAACTTGTAAGAAAAAAAGTTTTATAAGTTTGTTTTCAGTCAATTATAAGAAAACACGTTCACTTCTTTTGTTGAGATAATTCAGACGACTTTTACCTGAAATTGTGTTATTTAAGTAGAACTTTAAATGATATATTAGACATAGCTTATAAATATGACCAGAGAGGAAAAATGGTTCCAGTCCAGCAAAAATACAAAAAAAAAAAAGGTACATAATACGAAGAAAATCAGTTTCTCTTAATTTAAGGTCAAATAGCATATTCTGTAAAAATGGACAGAAAATACAACTTTCAAGTTGTACTTTGGTCACATCCTTTACTTTTTATCAAACATATATGATATCAAACACGAAAATATTAACGATTAATTGTAATCCCATTAAGACAATTCATTCAATTTTAAATACTGACTATTGCCATTGTGGGTACTCACCGCTAAATGCTGATATTCGGCTTCGGTATTAATTTCACACTTGCCACTGGAGAGTTTTTCCAAAACCTAGAAATACCAATAATAAATTTTACATTTTAAGTACGTTTAACTTAAAGGGTATGCGACATTAAAGATTTTTTGAAATGCTTTAATATGATTTAAAAGCAGATTGGAGAGCCATGTATGGACACAGGTGGGGCAGCAAAACCGGTGTTAAACAAGTCTTTCGTCGTTTTTTACGGAATGAGTGGTGTTACCGGAATCCAAACCTCTCCTCACCGTGATTTCGGGGAGAGGACTCAAAGGATGGCAATCCACTTGTGACTCCTGAGTTGCAGGTGTCCACGGCAGTAGTTACTCATTATTAGGGGACCAGGGTCTCAATTCTGATATTTTATGTTAACGTACAAGCTGCTGTCATTCCATTGAAACGCTATTGAGATGCCATTGATGTCGGTCCAAATATCAATATTCTACCAACATAAATTTACAGTGTCTATAGACTGTCGATGAGTGACAATGGGTCATGAATGGTAATATCAACAGCATTGCCATATCTGGCATCATCATTTCCTAGCAAATTTAAAATGTACCGTTTACCAAACTATTACAAAGATATAGACGACATTTGTTTTAGTGGCAGTTCAGTGACAAGTCATCCATGGAGGCCATTGGTCTTACATAGTTACTAGAATACGAAAAATGAAAAACATTCCATCGACAGTCTAATTAATACAATATTAAAATAGCAGAATTGAGGCCCGGTAAGTTCGTTGCTTTCTTAAAAAAAAAATCGAATGTATGCACACAGCCCGTTTGTAGACAGAGTATTTTCCTCCGAGCCTTTTTCTCAAACGAGGCTGGCTTTAGGTCTACTACGATACAGCTGAACTTCGAATTTTTTGTTTGTAGGCGGCGTAATATTTTTTTTACTTTAATTACTTTTCGTGTTTAAGTGAGTATTTAATTATAAATAAATTACCTGTGTGGCTGTGTGAGCTATATTATCACATGCATCAAGGATATTATCCACAACTGCCGTGTTCCTCTGCCTAAGAGCTGCTACCTTCACCACGAGAGCCCTCGTCTCCCTAGACACGCGGGAGTCCACCAATAGCACTCGCAGGTCCATCCTAATGTTTAAATGACGGGGCTTGCTGCCCTTCTTGAAGGCAACCAAGGAACCGAAAGTGCAGGTCGCGTTATCTATACCTGATAAAATAAAAGTGACACCGCTTATGTTGTGTTGTAAGAGTTCAACATCCAGAGGATTCGTTTGCCTACCAACCAAAGGGTTTTTTAAAATCCACTTTAACCTTAAAACTATAGACCCAAAGTCCGGAAAAGTCGATGGGCCAATACCACATTTATATTACACGTCTTTAGTGTTTACTTTTACAATAAATCAGTACATATGTAATTTATCAACTTTGTAAACATAAATGAGTAATTCAGATATTTGTTAAACAAATTTTTGTAATCTAATAAATTTCTAACTTCACTGTCTGTGTTAATATTGATTTTTTATGTAAGGGCCACTATCGACTATACGTTTACATAATATATCGTCGCTTCTTTTTGCAATAACATGGACAATTCTAATGACTATATTATTACTACACTTAAACTTATTATCTACATACGATAAAAAGTATTAAAAAGAGATCCCGGGGTATATGTATGTTCTTAATTCGTAGCCGTATTATGAGTTGACAGAAACTTATTAATGGCAAACCATTAAACTGGAATTAATTGGCATGATTAAGTAATCAGCAAAATATTGTTTCATAAATTACGTGATTGAGGCTATTGTTCTATTAAAATTCGATGAGCATGGATGGTTAACGTGTCTGACCTTAAGTAGTAATATTTATATCAGCATATAAATGCTGGATGAAGCACCTAATAATCTATACAGGATATTGGTTTAGCATGATTTTGTATTCATGATTCGTCGAAAGGAGTGACCTAAGTTTACTATTGCAACGGTATATGTTTTGCATGATATTAAGCTTTTTCCCTAGGTATGTAACGTTTACGTGTAACGTTTTTCCAGTAGCGTCCCTTTAAGTCGTGAGCTTCAAAAATATACATTTTATTAAGACAACGGACATAGAATATTTATTTATTTATTTTATTTTATACTTTATGCACAAATGTGACACAGGCGGACTTAATGCCGTAGGCATTTTCTACCAGTCGACCTTAGGGCGATGCAGAGTTAAAAAAATGGTAGATGCACAGTAATTAGAAATGTGATTTGAAAGAAAAAAAAAAAAGTATAAATAGAATATCATAAGCACAGGGTACTTAAATAAATTGCATTAGAATATATTTTAATAAAAGAGATACATACATATATAATAGGTAAATAATACATAAGTATTTATGTTTACATAATAATATACATTTATACATACATATAATTATACATATTATATATATATACATATACATACATACACACAATAAATTCTAGAAGAGAGAGGTATCAAGGTAGATCTGATAAGGAGTTTAAGAGATGTTTCCGCAACAGGTATTTAAAAGTTTGCCGAGTTTTTGCCATCCTGATCTCGCGAGGCAGCGCGTTCTATAGCAGGACGGATTGTACCAGAAAGGTAGAATGTACGAAGTCAGAGCGGTGAGTGGGACAGTGAAGAAGGAGGTTGCTTGAAGATTTAAGGTTTTTATCATGGTTTGCCCCTAAATATTGAAGTTGAGTAGTTAAGTAGGAAGGAGAACTAGGAGAAAAAAGTAAAGAATATAGGGTAGTTAATGCCCGTGTCTCTCTGCGTTGGCGAATTGGAAGCCACCCCAAACGGGAGCGATGCTGCGACACGTGATCATATTTGCGTAAATTGAAAACGAATTGAATGCAATTGTTGAGAAGGCGGTCAAGCTTATTGAGCAGATCTGCATTCAGGTCAAAGTAGCACACATCACCATAGTCGATTATAGGGATTATAAGGGTCTGGGCAAGCATTACTTTAGTTTTTATTGGCAGAAAGTTCTTAAGCCTATAGAGGGCACGCAACGAGCCTGTGACTTTCTGGCACACAGATGCAACTTGTTTTCGCCAGCTAAGAGTCGTGTCAATATACAATCCGAGGTCCTTCACACTTTCACGGAATGGAATAACCATGCCATCGTAGATAAGTGGCGGTAGTGAAGCAAGGTCGAGCTGGCTCATACGACGGTTACTTCCGATGATAATACCTTGGCATTTATTCGGGTTCACCGATACGCCAAACATATCTGACCAGTGTTTAATGGCCGCCAGGTCACTATTTAGGATCGAGACCGCGGACGATACATCGCACAACTCACTTTGATAGTATAACTGCAAGTCATCAGCATAGAGATGATAGGAACACTGAAGTCTTGGGGTGATGACGTTAATGAAGATAGAAAATAGAAGAGGTGAAAGAATACCGCCTTGTGGGACGCCAGCAGAAATACCGCGCCAGCCAGAGGAGGAATCTTCCGTTCCTGACTGACTGCTGACGATCCTGAAGGTAAGAGGAGAACCAGTCTAGTGCTTCTTGAGAGACCGAGAAATGGAATAGGACAGCAAGGAGTTCATGACTGACGGTATTGAAGGCATTGGAAAAATCAACCAGTACCAAGGTAGTAACCTTAGCATTCTCCATCGCCACCTTAATATCACCAGTCACTTTAAGAAGAGCAGTAACCGTGCTATGGTCCGGTCGAAACCCCGACTGAAGAGGACTCAATAAATTGTTACCATAAATAAAGTGGGAGAACTGTTTGTGGCCACAGGCTTCAAGCACTTTGGAGAGGAAAGGCAGAATAGAAATGGGACGAAAGTGAGTGGGAAGAGACGGATTGGAAGTTTTAGGTAATGGGCGTACATACGCTTTCCGCCACAAAGATGGAAATGTGCCAGACATGAGGGAGAAGTTAACGATATGGGAGATTGCGGGGAGGAGGTGGACTAGCAATGTGGTGATCATTCTCCGACTAATGCCATCACAACCAACCGCTTGGGATTTGATAGATAGGATAGATAGGAGGATAGAATAGTGCTATGTAAGGTTAGTTAAGTAAATTTCACGTTTGTTTTCCAATCAATGATATTTTTTTATGTCAGAGGGGGCATACAACATAAGAACGAAACATTTAGATTATCTTGATTATAACGCTCTTTATACATGCAAGTGATTCTAATTTTTAGTCCTACAAGATAGATACCAATGAGTCAGCTCTAGTAGTTAACTTTAATAAGTAAAAGATTTTTAACCACATTATAAAATGGCATAAGTATTCTATTATAACAATAAATAGACAATTTGCAATTAATATTGCAATTTTAGTAGACATAACAAAAATCTGAAATCGAAACAAATCAATAAAACTGTGTCAAATTGATTAAGCCTTGAGATTAATAATTAATTCTGGATCTCTTAAACTTATCGGAGAAATAAAAACAAATTATACGATGAATTTAGTCCTGCTTATTACTTTATTTTTTAATCATTTATAAACTAATAGGAAGTAAAACAAGAAGACGAAGTAGGCACATTAAGAATTGCAAGTAAGACTCCGCCCTGAAGATACCGTACTAGGTCAATTGTAAGGAGAGTTAATAATTCATATCCCGGGAATCGTTAGTCATTATCTTACAGAAATTCTCGAAATTCATTGATAAGGTAAGCAGTAAACAAACATAACCTTGTAGTGGAAGAAATGCTTTGGTGTAAGACAAAGTGTTGCAATGAAATCTTAAATGTAAATGTATGTATGTATGCAGAGAAACAAATACCTTTAAAAATTTCCCGTTATTTATTGTTTGCTTTTTGTTGTTTTGTGTTGTATTGTTATTTGCTTGCTGTAAGATTTTTCTTCTTATCTATTTTATGTAAGATCTTAAGGAAATAAGAAAACTTTATGACAAAAGAGAAGACGGGTCATCTGATGTGTGATGTATATACGTGATTTTTGAAGGCCATGGGCATTTGCCGTCTTTAAGGTAGTAAGTCCTTTTTTGAAAGTTTGACGGTCGTATCGGATATACCCAAGGCGACAATTTGTTCCACAGAATGATTGTAAGACGTTAAAAGAAATTTTGACGAGATGAACTATGGGGTTTCCAACGTTGAAGGTATGAATAAGCTAACGATTGTAAAAATCTTGTGTAAATAGTCGCATTTCTAATACCCTTGATTAAAAGGTATGCTTTTTAAACCTCTCAAGCCTCGTTTAAATGCTGAAAATAAAAACTTTTGTTTAAATACCTATACAGTTTGGCAACAAACTACATTACCAGTTTATGTGAGGATATTATTTTTAAAATATTTTCTTATAAATTTAATAACGTATACAAGAATGAATGAATGATGAATGTTTGAACTATAAGAAATTTAAAAACAAACCAGCCACCTACCACAATTTGTGAACTATATCTTAACACGTACCTACTTAATACAAATTACTGTTTCAAACGTTATCTCTGTTGTGTCTTATAGTTTATGATAATTATATATAGTACGTATACATGCCGTTTAAGTGATTACTACAATATGTAAACACAGCCCTAACAACAGTTTTTGTGTGATGCTAACTCTGTGGAGCTCTGTCAATCCTACTACAAATTAAATCAGAAATTTCAAACCTGTTAAAATCAAACAACTTATAAAGCAATAGAAAATGTTTAGGAAATATTACGCATTGATTCTAAGGACTTCAAATTATTATATTGTTATCAATAAATAGTTTCCTCGATAACATTTCACTCTTTCATTAAATATAAATACATATTTATCTTAGGAAGTTGTAGTAGGTATACGCGGAAGGAACTACTCGTGGTTAGTGTTAAAAATGGCTTATCTTATTTCCTTAGCAGATTCTAGCTAGCTTCTTATGTAGAAGAATTTAAAGAAAACTATTACCCACTACGTGCATAGATATAATTCTTCAGCAACTGTGTCAAGGTTACTATGTCGCTTTCTATTGAAGTTGTATGGCGAGTGATGAGATGATGCCCGGTGATATGTGAACTTGTCCTACATACCAAGTACAGTCAACGACAATCTATACTTGTATATATGTTTATATAGAATTATAACACCGTTTACCCTATGCCAAAAGTCAAAATATCCAATCCACCGAGGTAGGTATAATCAATTTAATTCGATAGTTCGAAATTAATCAAACATGTAATATAGCAAACTGAACATATTGGAGAATGTGAA